CTCTAGGGTGAACTATCGTAATAGCATAAATGCCATTTATGAGTTTTCAACTTTTAGACAAAACATGCAAAGTCTAATTATGGTGAGGTCATCAGAAAAGCAATCTGACAAGGGCTGTCAGAAATTGGGAAGGACAGGGAGAAATCATGGGGAAAAGTGATTTTTTTCATTTTATACAGAAGATATTCTTGAGAAACTGAGTACATTCATGGAGCAAGAGAATAGGGTTTCAATAAGTTCTTTACAATTACAAAGGTGACCCATAAAATCACTAATGACAACAGTGGATCAGACAGGGAGGAGCAGGTGGGGAAGTGCAATTACTTTGGGTTGCCTGATTCCTTGTGTTTTATGGAAACAACATAGTGGGTGGAGCCATTTTGTTTTCTTAATAATCTGTAATTACGTATTTTTATTTTTTAAAGACAGGGGTTTCACCATGTTGGTCAGGCTGGTCTTGAACTCCTGACCTCGGGTGATCCGCCCGCCTTGGCCTCCAAAGTGCTTGGATTACAGGCGTGAGCCACCACGCCTGGCCAATCTGTAATTACTTTTAAACATTCTTTTGACGCAAAATTAAAAAAATACAAAAGGGTCTATGGGTGGAAAAGATTCTCGTGTGCCAGCTCCCAGCCTTCCGGCACACCATTCTGGGGCTCAGCCATCGTGACTCGTGCACACACAGGCTGCCCACACGGTGGCCGCAGGGCAGCTCCGCTCCACCCTTTTCTCACGTGGTAGCTCTCGACACTCACTGCAGACAGACGTCTACATCGTCCTTGGTTCAAAGCTGCATGGTCACACCATCACACGTGGACTTGGCACGTGGCCAGTTTCCTTACTGACGAAGATTTATTTTCTGTGTATGCTGGAACAGTACTAGAAATCACTCCACGTGAGTGAATGAAACTTACTGGGTCAAAGGTGTGGGCATTTTCAAATTTAATACACCCTCACAAACTTACCTGAGAAACCATCATTTCACAATGTCTCAGTCCCCTCGAGCTGCCTCCATCACCGGAGCCGACCAGCCTGGGCCTTTCACTCTCAGTGGCCCAACTCTCACCTCTCCCCGCTCCAGCCCTTTCTATTGACCTTTTTGAATTCAGTCTGTGGTTCATAAGACCTCCATCTCCTAAACGTTTTTGCCAGGTGGTCCTGACACCTGCACTCCTGTTCCCCGAACTTCCTGGGCTGCTCCATGAGGCCTGGGCCTGGCCACTGCCTGTTTTCTCCTTCCAAACCCACCACAGGGTGCCCATTCCTCCTGGGAGGGGGGCAGAGGCCCACTGCTCACTTCATGACCTGCACGTCGGGTTGCAGGTGGGGCGAGGCCCTCCCTTCTGCCCACTGCCACTTCCAGGCTATATTCCTTCCATGCCACTGGACACCCCAGGAGGTGCACCCCTCCCACTGGCGGGCCCACCTCTAGGCCCTGGGGCTGTCCTGAGCTCATGGCCTCCCAGCACTGGCTCCTGTCAGTGTCCCTCACTTCTGGACAACCGTCAGGTCTTGTCCCCTGTGCGCTGGCCCCACTTTCCCATCTGTCCTCACCAAGACCATCATTGCCAACAGCTGCGCCCTACAAGCTTACTTCCTAAATCTTCACCTTGCACAACCCCTCACCCCCCAGCCTAGGGCCACGATCACCGTCACAACCAGCATTCCCTTGGCACCACCACACCTACAGCCAGCCCACACCTGCCCCCACTTCCTGTGCCCTCGGTCCCACCCTCACCTGGGATATTAGGGCCGTGTAGCAGGATGACGCCCAGTCACCTGCCACTGAAATGCAGCTCTGCTCCGCAGCCTCTCGGAGTCATCTCCCCCGCCGTCCATCTGTTCCTGAAAGCAGGGTCTGTCCTCACGGCACCGTTTCCTCTGTACCACTCTCTTAGAGGTAATGAAGAACTCACACTTACCCAATGGTTTGGGGGTTGTCTCCTTGTTAACTTCCAGTTCTGCTAACATTAAACTAATCAGTATTTTGTCATACATTTTGTCCAAGATGGTTTCAGTTTCTTAAATCTTGTTTTTCCCTATGTTGACTTCAAAAGATGTCATTTAATGTCAATCATTTTTTAAGAAAATCGATGTTAATTCACTATTTAGTGGAAAACACAAAGAATAAAGGGGCAATGGGTACAAAAATCTTAGAAAGGAGGAATATATTCTTTTTTTTTTTTTTTTGAGACGCAGTTTTCGCTCTTGTTACCCAGGCTGGAGTGCAATGGCGCGATCTCGGCTCACCGCAACCTCCGCCTCCCGGGTTCAGGCAATTCTCCTGCCTCAGCCTCCTGAGTAGCTGGGATTACAGGCACGCGCCACCATGCCCAGCTAATTTTTTGTAGTTTTAGTGGAGACGGGGTTTCACCACGTTGACCAGGATGGTCTCGATCTCTTGACCTCGTGATCCACCCGCCTCGGCCTCCCAAAGTGCTGGGATTACAGGCGTGAGCCACCGCGCCCGGCCTAGGAATATATTCTTTTTCTGAGTTCTGTTGCACAGCATAGTGAATATAATAAAAAATAGAGTATTGTACATATCAAAGTTGCTACAAGTAAATTTCACATGTTCTCACTACAAAAATGTTAAGTACTTGAGGTGATGGATCCAAGTACCTTGACTAGTCCGCATTGTATGCATAAGTTATAAGATCACTTTATACTCTTAAATTTATACAATTACAAATTGCCAACTTACAAAAATGTATCTCATGTTTATGGTTTCACAGTTTTTACAGGTAAATACTCAACCACTTGGAATTTCTTCGTATAAAAAGGGAAGTCTAATCCAACTTTTCGCTTTTCAAGGAGGTGACCCAAGCTTCCAAGCATGGGCACCTGCTGCCAAGTCCCCAGCTCCTGATCGCATGGGGCCCTCTGTGCCACGCTGCATCCCCGTGTATTTGCCTTATTTGTGGACTTTCTTGTTCCAGGAGCCATTTTAAAGGGCCAGTATCAATTACATTGTTCTAAAAACAAACAAGAATTTAAAACAATTTCTGGCTATTCTTGCATATTTTTTCTTTTTAGAATCAGCTTGTGTTTTAAAGGAAGTTTTTTACATCTTAAGGTACTGTATACTGAAATGTGAGAATAAATAACAGAACTTTCACTTATTCAAGGCCTGTGTTCCTTAGTAATTTTAGAATGCCTTTCACATAGGTGTTTCCCTATTTGCTACTAGGTATTTTATTTTTGAGACGAAGTTTTGTTCTTGTTGCCCAGGCTGGAGTGCAATGGTGCGATCTTGGCTCACGCAACCTCCTCTTCCTAGGTTCAAGTGATTCTCCTGCCTCAGCCTCCTGAGTAGCTGAGATTACAGGCATGCACCACCACACCCAGCTAATTTTGTATTTTTAGTAGAGATGGGGTTTCTCTATGTTGGTCAGGCTCGTCTCGAACTCCCGACCTCAGGTGATCTGCCCGCCTCCGACTCCCAAAGTGCTGGGATTATAGGCATGAGCCACTGCGCAGTCCCAGTATTTTTTTTTTTTTGGTTGTTATTGAAAAAAATGACCTTTGGCCAAGTGCAGTGGCTCATGCCTATAATCCCAGCATCTGGGGAGGCTGATGTGGAAGGTTTGCTTGAAGCCAGGAACACAAAACCAGCCTTGGCAACATAGCAAGATGCTGTCTCTACAAAAAAATAGAAGGCCGGGCGCGGTGGCTCAAGCCTGTAATCCCAGCACTTTGGGAGGCCGAGGCGGGTGGATCACGAGGTCAAGAGATCGAGACCATCTTGGTCAACATGGTGAAACCCCGTCTCTACTAAAACTACAAAAAATTAGCTGGGCATGGTGGCGCGTGCCTGTAATCCCAGCTACTCAGGAGGCTGAGGCAGGAGAATTG